TTCGTTCAGAGAATCGTTTGGCAGATTTTGGATGCAGATTTGAAATCAGCATTAAAAAATACGCCTAGCAGTATAGGTCCCATTTCAAATGGCCACTTCGACTTGGGATCCTTTCACCATTCTTTCCCTAATGAACAGCCAAAGGCTGCTTTCATAGTCCGCCAGCGTGCGTGCCGGCGTGCCGGCGTGTCGAGGCAGTGCTAAGGGGGAGGGAGGCAGACGGTCGGTCAGCCCCTTCGAAGGGCTGAAAACAAAGAAGAACAAGATCAAAAACCAAACAACCAGGGGCTTGTGCAAATGGTTTATGATCTTGTCTCTCTTTGTTTACAGCCCTTGAACCTATCGGACAGGTATGATGTTGGCTGAGCAAGTACTGGGTCATCAGACGGCGTCAAGCACGCCTCTTTCTGGCCTCCTTAGCGTACGAGTGTTCTGACACACACTTGCAATAATGGTTCACTTCACTGTTTTCACGGTGACTATCAATATCCTCATTGGTTTAAATTCTACTCATAAGTATTGAGGAAAGTTTGAGACAATAAGGAGGTCCTATGACATTCCATGCACATTCAAATTCTCATAGCTAGATTTGTGGCAATAGGTTGATAAAAGAAGAAGAAAATCCTAATCATTCCAGAGCCTGTTTGCCTTTGTGTTCTGGGTTTATGTGCGAGCGCTCATAATATCATTCCTAATGAGCTTTTTCAGGATGCTATTGTACACTGTGATTGTAATTCGAGCGACAAACTGTTACTGTATGAACAAGGTGAACATAGAAATCCGTGATAATGACGGGAACCAAATTATTAGGCAGAAGAACTCGGGTGATTGACTAACTGGTGAGTGGTAATTTCAAAGAATCGTATCGCTGACATTCGTTTAGAACTATGAATAGGCTTTAATACCAGAATACCAGTTCCGACCTCAATCGAACGGGTGGACGAGTCGTCCGAAGTCCTTCGTAATTCGATGTATCCTTCAAAGTCCAAGTAAGCATTGAAAAACAGTGGATACAGGAAGCGTTACGTCGTGCAACTTTTGTACCGTACCCGACAGTACGGCCTTGAAATCGTTACTTGTATGTTTCATGAAATAGATAGTAATAGTTCTACACACATCCATAGCTGTCCGATGTTTTGCTCCACAGAAATATGCTTCTTGGAGAGCCACAAGAGTTTCGGTAGGATAACTTTCTCGCTCGCAGTTTGACTGTAAACTTTTAGCACTTACCCAAAACCAGTGTTCTAGTAGAGAATGGACTTCCGGTAGAAAGGGAGCATCTACAAAACTTTTAGAAATGCTTTGGAAGCTTTAAGATGGCGGCAATGGCCAAAATTGGGCGATATGTTGGCGAAGAGTGGCTTATGAGCAAAGGCGACGCCGTAGACTTCTCGACTTCATACTACAGCCTCTCTTGGCCAAA